AGTCCCACCACTGTTTGCTGCGCCCTGAACTGACTTCCGTCTTGATCCAGCGCAACTCAGGCGTGACAGCATGCACAGAGAGAGAAAGAGTTCTATTTTCTTTTTGGGCTTTTTGGGTTTAGACATAGTCACAATTCCGGAGCCGCGCTTTATTTGAATGCACGTCGCACCACTGCCGTTGCATATTAAAAAAAGCGAACTTGTAGTGACTGCAAAATCTTCGACAATAGCCTACGATCTTCAGGACAGAGGGGACTTTGTGATTCGTCTTGATCATCGTTAATTTGGCAAGGTTATGAAACTTGGGTCCCACTTCCATCAGCGTGCTCACACAAAAACACGGATTCTGTTTAAACTCCTCCCGCCCTGTGCAAACAACCGAGAGCCTGCAAACTACAAGAAAGGATAGCGCGCACGCCGGAACCAAATCTCCTGTAGAGTCAGTGTGTGTATGTGCGGAGGCTATGAGGGTGAATCTAGTACAAAACCGAGCTTTTTGTGTGTGTGTGTGTGCAATCGCGGGAGGGGGGGCTGACTTCCGGCGAAATCCAGTCTGCAGGCAACAACCGCAACATAAATTGCATCAGCATACAAACTATGCTGGTCATGCGGGTCATCAAAGCCGTCAGTTCGTTTGTTACATTTTGTTGGGACCACTACGGCATTACAGATGCGATGATGCATAGAAGAGCAAGCTAAGTAGGTGCATAATGGCTGTCTACCTCAAATTGACAGTCAATTTTATACAAATCCTCTACAAGAAGGCAGGGGTATTTACTTGAAGACTATAACAGTAGGCTGTGTCCATCGAAGACCTACTCCCATATCAAACTAGCACTCAGATTTTATACGAATCCTGTAGAAGAATGCTAATGTACAGGGTATTCAATCAGAAATCCTGCCTGGCAGTCAGCTTACTGCGTCCGTATTGGTGGATTTCATACGCGCAGTAAAGCTGGGCAAGCAAATCAACCCAACCAAGTGTGATTAAATTCACGGCGCACTGTGAGCCCTGTAGCTCAATGGTAGAGCGTTGGCTGTGCAAAAGCCTTCCCTGCTGTGTGGGTTCGACTCCCCTTGAGGCCGCCAATTTTTCACAATTGAGTCAATCGAATTACTCAGAAGAATATAACAATAAAGGAGAACGTTCGCGTTCCAGGTATTTGCGTGGGTAAGAAAAAGGGCTGGTCGAGCAGCGGATCGGTTTGTTTATTAGGCTGAGCTTTCAAATTCTTAGAGGAGTCCATCGTCAGAGATAAGAAACAGCAATAAAAGAGGGGCAGTTAATCAACGTATACCTCTACAATTGCCTTCACTCATCTCTCTCCACCCCC